TTATAAAATATAAGATTAATATAATAAAAAAATATATATAATATTAAAACTTATATATAAAAAAAGTATATACATATATTAATTTTTCTCCATTTATATCTATAGATATTAATTTAAGATTGTGAAGGATATTTTTTTTTTATCATGCAAAGGAATTTATAAATTCTTGCTTAGCCATGACGCCCATTAATTATAATCAATATCATTGATGCACAAAATTGTTTTAAGCATATAAATTTCAGTGGCCTCGCTAGCCTTTACAATTTCAGGAGGCTCAGCTAAAGAAAAATTTATGGTGGTCTTCGCCCCCCCATACCCCCCATTTAGCGGGCTTTTGGCCCGCTTTAGCCCGGCCTTCGGTCGGGTTTTATATTAATATATTATACATTTTTAAAATATGTTAACTCTAGGCAATTATTCTGAATTTCATATTTTGTCATTTATAATATTTTGCATACAAAATAAACTAGTTTATAAATAATTAAAACAATACAATTTCTAAAAATAATATTTTTTAATACAAAATCTATTTATTACAGTATAAAATATTTTCGATTGCTGATTTAAAAAAATTTTGCGTAAAGAATTACAAGTGATAAAAAAGGTTAATTAATTCATACATATGCCTCAATTGATAATAGTTTTTAAAAACCCACATAAGGTTATATAATTCTTAGCAAGTTACATTGGCAAAAGGTCATTACCATTTTAGACAATGTTTTATAGAATGGGCTGATAAGGAAAAATTTATAGACCTTACCAAATCAACAATTCTTGAAGAAGAAAATAAAAACGACCAATCCAAATCATAAAAATATATGGTGGCTAGAGCTTCCTTTTAGATGACATGATGGAAGCTAATAAGTAATCGAGAAAATTTTTGTGAGATATTAATTTTCTAAAAGATTATCTTCCATTTTTAATGATATATAAACGACTACACAGTTGACCATTATTGCTTATCTAAAATATGCAATCATATGCTCTCAGCAGCTATAGTAATAATCTTAAATTACATAACACAAATAATAGATGCTGGTTAATTTGCAATCATAGCCATGACACTCACGATGGTAACCCATATCAGAATTTATTATGTTAAATAAATTGATAAAACAAAAACAGTAAAAATCTATAGAAGAAATTATGAAAATTTATTGAAATCTTGAGTTATTTATATGGCAAGGATGACATATTAGAAATGAAACATTTTGTAACTATAAAATAAGAACCAGAGTGTTATAATAAAAGTAATTATGATTTTACATATTCTCTAGTTGGTATATTATATCTTATAATAATAGAAGATTGTTTATATCAAAAATATATTCGTATTAAAAATTTAACTCAAAACTTTTTTTCAAAGAAGAAAAAAATAGCTTTCCTAAAAACACGTAAAAAAAAGAGAAGAAAAGATATCTAATTTATTACATCCATTGTGGGATGAATAATAAGATGTTCAATTTTAATAAATAATTTAATAAATAGATGGCGTTAAATAATTAAATGCAAATTGTTACTTATATTTATTATCAAAAGCATTTATTATTAAAATTTTAAAATTATATCTTATACTCATTTGGATTTGGACCTTGAAAATAATTTTAGGAAGAGAGTTGATAATTAAGTTAAAAAATCAATAATGTAGTTGATTAGTGATTTTGAACTCGGCTAAATACAATATTAAATTTGTAATAAATTATTATATTTATTTAATTAAGGTTATACAATAATTTAAATGGTTATTGCTTAAGTCGAGGGGTATATTTTTTTTTGTTATTTTTTTTGTTATTTTTTTTGTTATTTTTTATTATTTTTTATGTTATTTTTTTTATGTTTTTTTTAAATGTTAATTTAAATTAATATAGTATTATTTGGTGATAATTTTTTTTTGTGATAAATTTTTAAAATAATGTAGCATATTTTTATTATTTGGTGATAAATTTTTAAATTAATATGTATTTTTTCTTTTAAGATATATTATGTTATTTTTAAATGTTATTTTAAATTAATATAGTATTATTTGGTGATAATTTTTTTTTGTGATAAATTTTTAAAATAAAGTAGCATATTTTTATTATTGGTGATAAATTTTTAAATTAATATGTATTTTTTCTTTTAAGATATTTTATGTTATTTTTTTTATGTTTTTTTTAAATGTTATTTTAAATTAATATAGTATTATTTGGTGATAATTTTTTTTTGTGATAAATTTTTAAAATAATGTAGCATATTTTTATTATTTGGTGATAAATTTTTAAATTAATATGTATTTTTTCTTTTAAGATATTTAAAAATATTTTTTTCTTTTTTAAAAATATTTCTTAATTACTAGGGAGGGGAGGTAGGTAAAAGAATTGTGTCTACATATTTTTTAAAAAAATCGTTTTTTTAAAGAAATAATTCGTAGTTCCGATTATTATTAGATTATGTATATATATAATATGATTCCTTCCATACTAACTTAATATTATTTCCGTTTTTTTCTTTTAAAATGAATATTTTTACACTAGGTGTGTTTACTAATACTGTTGAAACAACTTATCAATTTTGCCTTAATAATCAATTTATCCCTTTAGGAATAGAGCATACTTGTTGCAATTCCATAATGCGGGTAGAAAAAAATAAGAATAGTTTGCGATATCGATGCAATAGATGTCGTAGATCATATTCGATATGGAAAGGTAATATTAATTTTATATCATAAATGACAAATTTTTAGATTCTATTTTTGAAGGGATTCAGGACGTTGGGAAATTTTTAAGACTAGTATACCTGTATATAAGTAGTAATTATTTAAAAAATATTAAAGAACAAAATTATTTTTAGGCCGTTATAAAATTTTAAGTGCTTCGAAGGAATTGGATTATCATAGGAATGCAATTTCTGGATGGTAATTTAAAGTAAAATATGGTTTTTATATTTAATTTATATAGGTTTAAAAAATTTCGCAAGGTATGTGGGTTCCATATAGCTTCGAATCATACAAAGATCGGGGGGCCTGGCAGAGTTATCGAAATAGACGAAACTCATGTGTGGAAGCGTAAATATAATCGTGGCCGGCATTTGATTTCCGAGGCTATATGGATCATCGGTGGCATATGTCGCGAGACGGATGAAATATTTCTAAGTGCAACAACAACGAGGGATCAAGATACCACACTGCGTGTGGTTAAAGATAATGTTATGCAAGATTCCACGATAATGACTGACTCATGGTTAGGGTATATACATATATTAATCTATAATATCAAAAGTAGTAGTATATTTAAATCGAGTCAATCTTAGATATAATCGATTAAATTGAACAAATTGTTTCCATTAAAATGTCAATCATTCCGAAGCTTCATTGACCTAAATGATAGATCCATTCACACCCAAAGAGTCGAAAGCGATTGTAACTGAATTTTATGGAATTTTCTAAAATATCTATGGGGATTCAAGTAGAATATTCATGAATATTCTACTCGAATCCCCATAGATCTTTTATAGTTTTCCTTAAGATCCCGCCACAGTCGTTTTGATCTTTTTGGGTGTCAATGGATCTATCATTTGGGTCAACGAAGTTTCGGGAATGATTGACCCTATAATGGAAATAATTTGTTTGATCCAACCAATTATATCTAAGATAAATAGATTTAAATATATTACTACTTTTGATTTACAGAATAATATATTTTTCAATAATATATTTCAATTTATTTCGAATTAACCCTTCCCAACAAAGGTTAAAAAAATCACTTAGAATTTAAAGATGGGGTCTATTTTACCCCTAATAAATACAAAATTTAAGATTTTATGCTAATTTTCCTAAAATTGCTTAGATTATCAGACTATATTTCAATTTAATGAATAAAATTGACTCATCACAATTCTTCTACCCTCCTCCCCTCCCTAGGAATTAAGAAATATTTTTAAAAAGAAAAAAATATTTTAAAATATCTTAAAAGAAAAAATACATATTAATTTAAAAATTTATCACCAAATAATAAAAATATGCTACATTATTTTAAAAATTTATCACAAAAAAAAATTATCACTAAATAATAAAAATATGCAACAATATTTTAAAAATTTATCACAAAAAAATTATCACCAAATAAATACTATATTAATTTAAAATAACATTTAAAAAAAACAAAAAAAATAACAAAAAAAATAACATAAAAAAAATTAACAAAAAAAAAATTAACAAAAAATAAAATAATATACCCCTCGACTTAAGCAATAACCATTTAAATAATAAAAGTCAATTATGCTTCAACTGTTATTGCTAAATTAATATTTAGTGAGTGATATTGATATATTTTTAACACAGAATTTGATTGCAAGCTGACAGAGTGAACATATAATTTATATGTATTAATCTAATCTAATAATTAAAATAGTATTCATTTAATAAAAATTTAGATAATTTTATTAATTTTTAAATAATAAAATTAAATCTATATATTACTTAATAAAATTATTAAAAAAATCGTTAAGGGGGCAATTAAAAAAATTTATTTTTAGTTCAAGGGGATAATATTGAGCATTTAAAAATAATTTTTTTCCTCCAGGGGGCTATTCAAATTTTTTAGGGGGCTCGTGCCCCTGCGCCCCCTCCCCCTAGTGACGCCACTGATAAATTTATTTATAATTTTGTATAATAATTTTATAGTTGCTAATAATGAATAAATGATGAATTTTAAATCTATTTTTGATTTTGATTGAAAAAAACTTATTAAAAAATTTTAAATCTAGCAATAACATTTATAATCAAGTACTTGATCATTTACTCAAAAACAAAGACGAATTCTACTATTTATATATTTTAATATTTTATGGTTCGACTAATAAATAAAAAAAAAAATTTTTCGATTGCTTCCTTAGTAATAAACTTGACGCTTCGTCAGTCAAACATTTAGATGATTGACAGATGTCATTCATTATCTTATTACGCATTGCTTGGATAATATGTAAGAAATATTTTTTTCTTTTTAAGGCCAAAAAAGAATGACATTTATTGCAAAAAAATCAACCAGTAATAGTTCTTAATCTTTGTAAGTTAACTACTTCGCCTTTATAAGTTTATTTTCTTCAATTTCAAAAATCCAAAAGGAAAGACGTCATTATGTTATTATACTTTTATCATTATAAAATGTAATAAATAGTAAGGAATATATGATAAATAAAAGATTAATTATAAATACCTTATAATCCGCTAACCAATATGTCTACCAGTCCATCCTGGAGAGAATTAGCCAAACAGCAGGAGTTAAATAATATTCCAAAAATGGTCAGCCATAACCTTGATTCTAATTTGCCTGGTAGATTAAATAAATATGATACTAATCTTTCTCAGACTGATTTAAATAAAAGTGGCCTTAATCATTCTCATATTTCAAAAGAATTGGTAGATGGAAATTTTTACAATTCCAAATCAATAAATTCAACCTTCAATCACTACAATCAAAAATCTGAATTTGATATAATGCTTAATTCAAAAATGCACCATTCCTTTTCAAATGACTTAAGGAATAATAGCACCAAGTATACTCCAAAGGTTCTATATTATAATAATACTACAAGTATTGATGGTACCTATATAAATGCTTTAAACAATACAAATAATAATTCTTTCCAACAAAATTTAACTATACCAAATATATCACCAAACCTAAATAAAGCAAACTATAAGAATGCTGCAACAAATTTTGTTTCCCAAAATGAGGAAACTGATAAATCATCAAAGGCTGAAACATCTCTCTTATCAAAATATTTAAATGCTAAATTGACAGGTATCCATTCTATCAACACTGCAATGACAAGTTTGGATATATACAATAATGAGAATTCTCTTCTCAATGACCTTGGATCCACTAGTCTATCATTTGCAGATCTAAAACTCAAGCCTCCTATACTTAGAGCAGTCTATGATTATGGGTTCCACAAACCCTCCAAAATACAAGAAATGACCTTACCCATCATGTTGCCTACCTCATTTACCCTTGAAAATAACAGAAAAGAAGATATTAAAAGTTATGAACAAGATATAAATGTGAATTCTGAGAATCAATTCAAGGGAAAAGATGTTATTGCACAGTCTCAGAGTGGAACAGGTAAAACAGCTGCATTTGTCATTGCAGCTTTATCCAGGATAGATCTAAATTTGCCTTTGCCTCAAGTCATTTGTCTCTCTCCAACATTTGAACTAGCCCTGCAAACATATCAAGTATTTTTGTCACTTGGAATGTACATGGGAGGACTAAAGATTGGTAAAGCTTTGAAAGGTAGTGGAAGGCAGAATAATATTTATAAGCAAAATAGCTGCTTAGATGGATTTGATAATGGTTATAAGGTTGGTGATGGCAATACTAAGACTAGTGTCAGTGAAAATGTTAGTTTAAAAAATTATCATAATTTAATACACATACACCTCCATAAAGTTATTTATGTTTTGGTCATTATTTAGAGGTGATCAACTTGTAAAGGATTTCTTATTTCAAAATAGGACCATACCATATTTATTAAATATTGAAGATCAGGGCTAATACTTACCATTTTTCAAAATTGGATTGGACATAGAAAATATTCATTTTTTTAATGACATAGATAGATCAATCTAAATAACAGATCAATTTATTGGATAGGTTTTATGGTAATATCAGATTAAATCAGTGAAAATATTGTGGATTGGCAGATATAAAAAAATTGAAAGATATGGGCAATGATTAACACTGAATCAGGTTTAGGCAAAATATTAGTAAAGCCTTGAAATTAGGCCAACAAATATCCAATCTTTTTGTCGATGGGGAAAATTTCTAAGCTTAGGTAAACCTTGGCTAAAATCTTAAGTTAGCTGTCTTTAAAAATTGTTAATTTGAGCTTTTCATCATTACTATCTGAATATAACTACTAATATTTTTATATTTTTTTTCTTGTTGTAGATAATAAAACAATTTGATTTTTTTAAATCAAATAAATTGAATTTAGAAACTTTTATTATTATAAAAAAGGTATATAATTGTATATACAAATCATAAAATAATCAAAAAGAAATATCAGCCCTAATTCAATTTTCTTTTTGATTATTTTATGACATAGGCTCAAAGATATATTACAAATATAAATCAATTTAAGTAGTTTATCAGATAAGTTTTATTTGAATATCAGGTTAGATCAAACTTGTCAATTGACATAGCTTTATTTCAAAATTAGTTCCCCCCTCCCTCCACCTTATATCTTAACACCTAAAACTTCTGTAATAAATTTTAATGTCAAAAACCCCATTAATACTTTTACTTTTTCTTAATAAAATATATCCTTAAAAATTTTTACTATTGAACGCTATTAATCTTTTATTAAATCGATTTCAATACAAATTTTAAATTGTCAAATAGAGTTCTTTTTATCATAGATGGGGAAAATTTATCAATTGTTATAAAAATATTTATCATTTTTTAAAGAAATATTTTTAAATAACGCTCTCTTCATCCGCTCACTCTTATCAGCTCTGTAAAAATCTGGCTGACTAGATGCACTGCACATTAATTTGTTTTTTTTAAATCGAGGTTTTAATGACTTAATTATGACTTTCTTTTTCTCCAGCAGCTAAAATAATACTTTCTATAAAATAAACCACATTCATCGACACTAAAAAGATCTTTTTATTAAATGAGTAATATTAAATTCTTATCTTTCAAGCAATTGAGTTATTTTTGCATTGTAATTGTCGATAAAAATATGGAAATATTTTTTATTAAATACCATTTCACGGTATATACATCTAAGATTTACCCCATTTCAGAGTGCCACGTTATAGTGGGCACACCTGGCACGGTTTACAATATGATAAAATCTCGGGCCTTGCCAACCAACAATGTAAGGGTTTTCATCCTTGACGAAGCTGACGTTATGCTGGATATACAGGGTCTTTCCGATACATCGATTCGTATTAATAAATCACTTTCGGTCAAGGCTTGTCAGCGACTGCTCTTTTCGGCTACTTACGATGACGAAGTTATGACTTTTGCTAAATCCATACTACCCAACGCAAAGGTTTCTATTAGGTTTTTTTTAAATTGGAAGTAACTTGACTTTTTGAATATTAACATTACGTAAAATTTTGTCAGTTATCTTCAAATATGCATATTTATTTGTCGTTGCCACAAGTTCATAAAATTATCCAACCCTCAGAAAGTCGGGCGTGTTATTTTTCAATTTTCTAAACATAGCCGCCTTGATGAACCTTTTTTTTCTCCCTCTATAGCTAGTTTATTTGTGATTTTTATTGACTGTATTACTAGTGGCTTATTTTTTAAAATAAACATGGTTTGGTATCTTAAAACTCAAATATTTAAAATAAATGAATAATGTATTATATATAGAAATTTCACCAGTTCTTTACTAATATAATAACTATAGACAAAGTTCGAAAAAAAATTTCAAAAATTTTGAGCAAAATTTTCTTGAACAGATTTTTTATTAAATGTTATCAAAAAATGCAAATTCTTATTTAAAAATTTTTTTATAAATAAATCTTTTGTAATTTTTATAAATAAAATAATGATGAAATTAAATTTTTTTAAATACAGTATGTTTGATTGATTCGAAAATGCCACAAGATAAAATATTTTAAATTTAAAAAAACGTTTATCAAGGGGTCTAATTTAACAATTGATTTTGATCAGTGCTGCAAAGGTTATTTTACATTGATTTTGAATACTGTAAACATTAATTTAAAAATGGTTATTTGATACTCTTATTTAGTCATAAAAAAATTATTAAATTTAAATATAACATACTATAAATTCAATTACATAAGATTTGGTATTAATTTAATAATCTTTATTTGGGATAAAATCTGAAAAAAGATTGCTGTAAATTTCAAAAATTAAATTACAAAAGGAAGGGTTTTGTTTAAAATGTTTGATCTCATATGAAATAATTTTGTATATTTTGTAATTTTTTTTTATAAATAATTGATATCGGATTAGTAGTTTTGTATGAATATCGATAAATATCAGATCAGTTAAAAAAATTGTAAGTCTGTGCATCTTTATTTAATATCAAGGTTGTTAATCGATCCTTTTAAAAGAATCGAATCACCATCTTTTCAAAAAATATGGATCGAAATTTTTTTTAAAAAGTATCGCGACCAGGTTTACGATCCTTTTATAGATAATTCAAATATTTTTTCTAGAATCTAAATTACTTATTTTATAAAATTGATAAAAAAAAATTATATATAGTGATAGTAAATGATATTTTATAATTAAATTTAATTATATAATAAAACTTAATAATTTAATAATTATATGACAACTGTACTGTGGTGTAGCCGAATTTATTCAAGGAGTGAATGGGAGGGGATATATAATGATTATTTGCGTATTTAATACATTTATGCTTTAACTCGTTTTATAGATAGTTCAAAGTAAAATGTATTATTGGCGCAATATAAAAAGTTGCCAAGATTGACATCATGCGAGAATAAGAATTATAGATTCTCTGAATATATGAGTGCGCTAATATAATTCATAATCATTTTGAATCTATCAACAGAAATCAGTTATAAATGAAATAAAAATAGTTGAAATAATATATATTTTTATCTAAATTACCCTTTAAAATAATAAAAAAAATTCTAAATTAATATTAATTTAAACACCTACGTTTTTCATTAGAAACGTGTTATGGTTTACTTAGTATAAAAAGTTTCAAGCTCATCCATGGTTATCATTGAAATTCGAGTCCAGATATTGTTGATCAATTGCTTTTCCAAATGAGCAATAAACTTATCCTTTAACAGCGTATTCTGTACCAGATAATCTTGGGTGGTGTTGCATTAATATTGAGGTCCTTGTTAAGTGGAGGAAATTCATGATGCGAATTTTTCTTCATCCGGTTGCTAATAAGGTAAAATACTTGTGAAGCTGAGGAAAAGATAAAGAATTTAATTTACATTATTATTCAACTGTAATTTCTTCTAGATCTGCATCTTCAACTTCATTAGTTATAGAGACATTGATTAACCTATAAATTGTTTATTTTATCATTCAATATTTTAAAAAACTTGTGAAATAACTTCTACTAAAAATAATGTTGTCTTTGATTAAATATTTCGTGAAAAGCAGCAAATTTATATACATTATAGTGGATGCGAAATTATGATGGAGATAGATTTTTTTATATTTTAAATAATATTTTAATATTATCTTAAAAATAAATTTTAAATAAATATTTTATGGGAAAAAATTTTTTTTTCAAAAGGATCGAGTAATTGTTTATTTACAAAATGATTTCTATCAAATTTTTTTTAACGAATATCATTCAGGAATCCAAACCGAAACAAATATCGGTTCAGGTTCGGATAAAAATAATGGTTCAGGTTCGGTTCGTAAAAAATAAATATATCGGTTCGGTTCGAACCTCTAAAAACCGGTTTGAACATTTTTGTATTATAATCTACATTCGAATTATGTATAGGGAGGTATATTTTTTTTATTTCATCATTAATATAAAAAACATACATAAAACCTTCATTTTAATTAATTGCAGATTATAAAATAATATTTAAATTATAAATCATACAAATAAATATCATTGATTAATTTTAATATGAACAATATTTACCTTTATTTACTTAAAATTTTTTATTGGGCCGCACAATTAATATATTTTCAAGATTCGTTTTCACCCATATTACATCTATAAAGAGATAGTATAAATTTAATTGTTGAAAAACATCTTTCCACACTAACTTGGGTAGCTGGCACTGCCAATATCAAACAATTTACATAATTCTGGGCATCGATTACTCTGATTTCTTTAATAGTTTAAATTATTCATAGCTTTATTTAACCTAGGTTCTTTAGAAAAATTACCTATAATATTTATTTCTTTGATTATATATTACCAAATACTTAAGGCTTATATTCTGTAACATTAGATTAAATATTTTGAGAATTAATTTTAATTTTACCCACGGCTTCTAATAAGGATCAAGAACTTTTTAAAACCTCTATCATCGATTAATTTGAATGGTCTGCCTTAAAAGTGATCAACTCAGTACAATCATCGATTATTATTTTTTATTTAGTATTGTTTGTTTTTAATTCTTCTTCTATCGTCTGTTGGCTTGATGACATCTTAAACTTTTATTTTATTAGGCTTTTGTTGTGATATTTTGTTAATTTTATCAAATTCTAGATGGTGTTTTGTGACGCTCAAGATTTATGATGGCCTCATATTTATTTAATAATCAGTGATATTACATTTTGATGTGTCATTTATAATACTATATATAAATAATTTATATTTCGGATTTAATTTTCTCTTAGGCATTATAATTTATAAGCTTAAAATATTTAAAAAATGCTGTAAAATGGCAATATACTAAAGTTTATAAAAATTATGACTGACAATTCATCGTGATTTATAATAATCTTTAAAACAATTCGAATATAATTAAATTTCTTACAATATACTAGTAATAATTTACACATTATTTTATAGGCATAAAATCATAAGGCTCGAACCGGTTCAGAGGCATTTTAACGGTTCGGTTCAGGTTCGGCTAGAAATTATTTAAGTGGTTTAGGTTCGATAAAAAATACAGGTTTTTAGCGGTTTAACGGTTCGGTTCGGTTTGGATCCCTGAAATCATCGATCCGAGAAATTTGCTAAAATAAGGATCGAATCCAAGATAGTCGATCTTTTAACAACTATGTTTAGGATACATGTTATTATTTGACCATTTATATGTTACATAATAATTAAATATAAGAAGTTAATAAAATTTCCATAGTTTAGTATAATGTAAATAAAGTTGTTATGTTTTTCTTCAAAAGGTATTCTCTCTTCCTCCTCCTGCGCTAGTCCTCTCCAATGTTGCCCAATTCTATCTGCCTTGTCCCAATGGCTTCTCCGACAAACTAAATTTCCTTGTATCTCTTTACGGCTCCCTGCCTATAGGACAATCCTTGGTATTTTGCGACACGCGAGTTCAGGCTTCACGTTTGGCCCATTTTTTAAACAAAGAAGCAGGTTCTTCCCATATTTATTTAAGCTTATTTATAATATAATACCTTTCTTCATTACAGTTTAATTTAAACTGCATTTTACTTTTTAAATTTATATAGTAAACAGTATAAAAAGTACCAATTTTATTTATGATATCCATTCCCACAATAAAGCCAACATTTTTATTGATGCTGAAGTTTTAATTACAAAAATCGGACAGGTTTTCCAGCTTCTCTTCTCAGTGCCGAATTGGACGTAGATCAAAGAGCGGCCGTTATCGAAGGGTTTAGGTCAGGGAGGGAAAGGCTTCTCGTAGCGACAAATGTTCTAGCCCGTGGTATAGATGTCAATCAAGTCAATCTGGTTCTCAATTTTGATATTCCGCGTCTGGGTGGAACTAAAGGTTATTCATTTTTTTCTAGTTTTATATATTCTTTATATTAGTAAATTCTTTTAGACTTCATATTAATCGATTGTTTTTTATATACCTGGTTTATCTAGTCTAATTCATATCTTCTATGATATACGTGAAGGTTAAGCAAATAATAGTAATATTACTTTGTACTACCCGAATATATTGGACATCTGCTATATTTATTTAAAAATTTAAATTGAAAAATTCACAGCCAGGTCTTCGTCTAGCTTTGAGCTCAAAGCCGATGTAGAAACTTACCTACATAGAATAGGCAGGTGTGGTAGGATGGGTAAAAAAGGCTTGGCTTTAAACTTGGTGGAACCAGATCAATTACCTTTGTTGAAACAGATAGAGAAACGACTCAACATAATTATACCAGAGCTGGACCCGGATAAACTATTAGGAGCCGAAGCTGATGAGTTCGAATCTATCTTGGAAACTTCGCATCAGAAGGATAAATAAATAAAATGGTGATTATTGACAGATTATTATATTATACTTATACACAATAAAAATTAGCATCATTATATCCTGTATTTACAAATGATATACGACGATGTGTATGGTGATATAATTATTTTTTTAAATAATGATATACTTAAAAGTGAGGACTCATAGAATATTCTTCTGCCCAATATCGCAATTTCTAATTTTTAATTTATATATTTTTTTAAACAAAATTCATCATTTGTTTTGTTTTATCACAAATACAATTTTTAAAAAATATTAAATTACATTATACTATTTTATAAAAGAATATTTTTTTTGAATTAAGTTTATTCAATCTATATATTTAATTAATTTTTTATTATAAAAATTTATATTTTTAATCATTGACACGTTTTATTTAGAATAAATTATTCTTTAATGAATTTTTATGGGTTTTGAGATACTTTTAAAATGCGATGCTTTATAATTTATTCCAATCATATTTATTTTCCAATTGATTATAAGCCCAGATTATATACGATATTACAATATTACAATGTATTTAATGTAATAAATACTTATACAATATATTATATTTTATATTATATCATAATAAATTTTGTATTTAAATTCTTTATAAATTATAATATCATTTTGATGATATTATACTTAAACTAGCTTGACAAGGAAGTTTTTTAAAATAATTTTAACATTTTAAGCTACGTCATAAATTTTATATAATACCCATAAATTTCTGTAACATGTGAAAGTGAAACCGTGAGATTCTATCATTTCAAATACATTTAAGGCCATTAAAATTTTCAAATAAAAATTTATTAAAAATTATTAGAACCTATATTTGAAAATATGATCATTTCGAACACAAATAATAAAATATTGGAAAAAACAAAATATTCAAGAGCGAATATAATACTGTTAAAAAATATTATAGTTCTATAAACTGATATGTAAATCGCAATAAAATATAAAATTAAATATTTTGTAATGTTTTAAAAAGTTAATTAAAATATCGTTCACAAAAGGAAATTTAATCTTCTTTGCGATTGCGTCAATGTTTTAATATTTTGTTCTGTATTAGAGATTAGATCTCGATCTATAATAAGTAAGGTTAGTCTATTCAGTCGATTTTAAGACATCGTATCTTTGAGATCAGGGATGCGAACTCGGCAAAATTTTAGCCCGCGTTCGGTTCAGGGAAATATTTATAAACTCGGGGTTGGTTCCGGGTTTAAGAATTTTTGAATTAATAAAAAAAATATATATTTAAATCATAATTAAAAAACTAGACATAAATTTGGAATAAAAAATAAATTTTTTATTTTATTTATAGGCAAAATAGTTTAAAAATACAAAGCAAGTCATGTATCAATTTCAAAAAAAATTTTTTATACGTATTTCTTTAAATTAACAATATTCAATATAATAATTTTTACTTTGACTTGTTCACTTTTTTTTTCTTCTAATTAATAATCTTTGAGAATTAGTTAAAATTTAAAATAAATGGCGTAAATGAATTTAATTGTTTTAAATTTATTAACACCTCAATAGGAATCTTTGAGAACAAATTTAAAAAAAATTTAAATGGCGTAAATGATTAAGTTGTTTAAAATTTATTAACACTTCACTTAATTAGAAAATATTATAAAATCTTAAAATTATTAATATTAGTATTTAAAATTATACAAATATCTTAATATAGGATTTTAAACAACACAGTGAACCCGATTCCCGGGTTCAAAAATTCCCGGGTTCGGTTCGAGGTTTTGAAATTTTTATAAACGGGGTTCAGGTTCTGTTCGGGTTAAAATTTTTTCTCAAAAACCCGTGTTTTCTACTCCCCGTTCGGTTCGAATCTCTGTTTGAGATAGGTTTATAGTCTAATTATTTGTGCTTGTGCTAATTGGTATCATTGCCAAAATATACAATAATTCTATTATATTTGCAAAAACTCATAAAATATATTTTAAAGTAAGTAAAGCTTTCACTGTGTTTCTTGGATTATCCACTAAAATTAATCTTTCATACCATTTAAATTCTGAAATTAAATGGCCTTCAGATACATTTATATTATATCTTCTGAATAAAATTTACCCAAATATTAATTTTTTCCATATCAAGATTTAATATTTCCTCAGAGATCAGAGGTAGTTATAAGATATAGTATTTGTAGGATAGAGCCATTTGATGAATCACAAATCATTCATTGATTTAAGTCAAAAAGTGGAATAAAAATGATTATTTTATAGTAATCCTCAATTGAATCCATGTTAATATTGGAACGTTTTGTTTGTCTGAAAGTCGAGGCTTGCGAATCTCAAAATCATATAATTTCGTTTTCAACTCAACAATCACATAAATCTCGAAAAATCTTTGGTGCATAGTATCTCTTAGTTTTTAAGTTGTAATATAATAATTTTCGCGATTTTCATAACTTTAGCCAAATCTATAACATTTTTTTTGAAAGATATTGCATAAAATTGTTGTGTAATAAATAGCTTAATTTATTCCAATGAAAAAATCTGCAGTCATATTAAATCTAATAATGTATCCGCTTCAAATGAAATATATGTTTTAGGCCATTTATACTATTTCTATAAGGGCATTCAAAATAATCTCTTCTAGCCAAAAAATGCTCTAACAATGATGTCGAAGGCTCCATCTTGTCGGGCATACTTTTTGCAGTCTCTTTCTTCTTCTAGCACAAGTTTCAGAAAGAATTACATTAGCAAATTCTATCTATTTGGATATCTCAACATTTCATACACTGAAGAAATTTATAATCATAGTTATTAGTACAGATAAATTACATCTAATTTTTTTTGGTTGATAAAATTTTCCTATATTCATGGTTATAAGGTTTAAAAATGTAGGAAAATAAACTTTAAATTTTCGTGAATTAAAATATTAATATACAAGGAATAAATATTTAAATTAATTTTAACTTTTTGCTAATAGTGGAATAGAATATGACCTATTTGAAATAGAATACCAGAGCTATTAAAGTACCTCGCTATAAGTTATGCGCTATCTTTTTTGGTAGCTATAGCTAATAAGGCGTTACATTTTTCCCAATTATTTATTTTTTTAGCGCGCTACTTTTTTGTAAAAATATAATGGATGTAAGTATAAACAAAATTTAAATGTAATATCATAATTATTTATAATTAATTATTTAATTTTGAAATTGAAATTTATATTTTCAATTTGTATTATAAACCTAAATCATCTGGTGAAATTATTTAAAATTTCATCGCAAATGGATATCCAAATCGATGTAAGTGAGTCAGACAATTACGATATTAATAAAATGGAAGGCACCTTAGAAGAAAATGTTCTTGATAACAATATGAAAAAAGCTATTCAAATTAATTATTTTTTAAAATATTTTATTATTATTCTATGTCTAAAAGAACTAAAAATATATCAGTATATATATATAAAAGTTAATTGAAAAATATTAAACAATCAACTTAAATAATATAAGATATTCAAATGATATAACGTTAATATATTTTAAAAAATAAATAATGTTCAAATAAGACTAATCAACATTCCCCCTCTTCTACAAAGAACAAAGCTTCTTCACAGCAGTCATGGAGAGCTTGTTGTCCTAGAAGTTTTTCCCGTTTCGATTGTACTCGGTTTCTTCTTGGTTAGCGCATAAGTCTCAAATGTTCTCGTAGGCTTGATTCTATCACGTAGGTTTGATAAAATCGTTTATTAGAGTTGCGTGAGTTTGTACTTTTTTTGTAGGCTTGAATCAATCGCGTAGGTCTGATAAAATCGTTGAACGTTATCGTTGGCTTGATATCCTTATCGTATGTTGTTCACATTTCTCAAAATTGTTATTATCATGTTTCATAATTAATCCAGTCGAATATTGGAATTTGGAATAAATCGGAATATGTAATTTGGAATAGTTGATCAAATATATGAATAATATGCACGAATAAAATTTTGAATTTCGGAACAATAAAATATGTAATAAGGAATGATAATTTATGGAATAAGAATAAAATTTTAATCCAGAATAAGGAATGATAAATCATAATGATTATTATATTATTTTTTAGGTGTTAAGTTAATCATAGCGTTTTATACTTTTAGCGTTTTATGCGTTTTATATTTTTAGCGTTTTATATTTTTTGCGTTTTACATTTTTTAGCGTTTCATATTTTATAAGCGTTTAATTTTTAAATTTTAAGCACGTAATCTTTTAAGTAATCAGGTTTATTTTTAATTCTTATCGATCTAGTAATTGGTATCTTAATCTCATTCTTCGTGTCCACACTTCCCCCTTAGAGAAATTCTTAGGGTCAATTTCATAATATTTTAAACTGTTAAAACATTCTCTTTTCCTTAACTGATCAAGATGCCTTCTTACTATCCCTTTATCAGCATAAACTTGGAACATGGTGTTACTCTCTTTAAGCTTGATGCTGCCTTTGCACCACGTATCATCACCCTGTTTCTTATACCAAACATAGTTTCCTCTATTAAAAGTTCGATTTCGTGGTAACGATATGTTGACTTCATCAACTTTATCCTCCAAAGGTTTTAATAAATCCCACTTTATTCTAATGTCGCGGTTAAACATTCTCTTGGACGGTGTAACTCCCGTAGTGTCATTCGGCGTGTTTCTATAGTTGAACAAAAATCCATCCAGCGCAGTTTCTAAGTCAATCTTTATGTTTCTTTTCATGTGAGCTTTAAATGTTCTCACCATACGTTCAGCTTGTCCATTAGATTGCTGATGGTAGGCCGACGTTAGTACATGTTTTATACCATAATTGCTGCAAAATTTTTCAAAATCTTTGCTCGTGAAATTGGTACCATTATCTGTAACAATGGTTTCAGGTATACCAAATAGTGAAATAGTTTTATAAATTTCCTTTAACGTGAATTCAGTCGTAATACTATTTACCGAAACTATAACCGGAAATTTACTGTAAGCATCAACGATTATCAACCAATTCTTTGTAAAAAATGGACCCGCATAATCTATGTGTATCCTTTCAAATGGTTTAGTTGCTGCTACCCATGGATTTTGTATTTTCTTTGGATTGTCATGATAAATATTACAATCATCGCAACTTTTTACTTCCAAATCAATGTCGTTGACCATACCAGACCACCACATACGATCTTTGGCTAAGGATTTAATTTTACCTGCTCCCAAATGACCTTCGTGTAACGCCTTCAGTATGTTCTTTCTCAGACTTGATGGAATTATAATTTTGTCGCTTTTGTACAGACAATCTTTAATGATACTTAGTTCGTATTCAATATTTTCATAAATTTTATTTTGGATAGGCACATTATTTCTTATGTCATTCATAACTTGAGATAGTTCAGAATCTTTAGAAGTTTGATCGCGTATTTGGTTAAAACTCAGAGGTATATCGCCAAAGTCATTTATAATCGCGATATCATCAATAACGTCATCATCAATTACTTGTGGTAGTCTTGAGAGGCAATCGGGAACAACATTGTATTTGC